GGCATGAATTTCGTGAAAAATCACTTGGAGTTCTTGCACTTGACTAATAACAGTTTTGGAGTCCACCATCTTATAGTCTAGGAATCTGCCGACTATAAACTTTTTAGTCCCGCTTCCTCAGTTTTGTATTTTCGGTCCAAAGAGTCCCACAACTCCTTAGTAGTTTTCATCGTGCTGTACACAATACACATTGTATAGCGTGTCTGCTAAACTATTCTTAATGTAGTTTCGCCATTAAAAGTCCGAATGCTTCCAAGCATCAAGTGCACTGACTGCTTGAATATCTCCTTCTCCTTCATTGAGTACAGGAGCAGTCTCAGTCAAGAATCTCGCAAGATTTAAGGTGGTCAAGTAAAATAACATTTTCTACTGCCACCTCTTGAAATTCATGTCATTGAATTTCTTCAGTTTCTCTCCATGATTAACCAGAACAGTAACCGTTGGCCAGCAGTTGGAGCCACAGTTTGACTCACAACATGATTAGGCAAGTTAGCCACAGCAGAGCTTGGCCCTTGAACCATAGTAGAGCCCACAACTTGATTTCTAGCAGGAACAGTTTGGGTCACATCCATGTTGGTTGGTTCGGCAGCCATTTCTGAAAATGAAACAATTATTAGTTTCCAATAAACAAATAAACTTGTTTATTACCAATACGTATTAAGAAAAATTTGTCTTAAGTTTGTTGGTAAATTTAATTGGTAGTGTATGGAGTGGAATCGGGCTCTCATATACCGTATTTGTGTTTTAGACACCGGATTCACGTTTACTATATTTGGTAATTGCTTACCGTATTTGGTAGTTCAATTCATCGTATATGGCAGCTTACCGTATATGCCAGGTAGCTTACCGTATTTGCAGCTTACTGTCTATGCTGCCTATCGTATTTGCAGAAAGCTCATTGTATATGATAGCTCACTGTATTTGCAGGCAAACTCACCGTATTTGCACAAAATTTGCATAAAGTGTTTTTATTCATACACTAACTAAAATAATACAAATTTTTTCACTTACAAATAGAAATACCGTATATGTGAAATCTATTTTTCACACATATAACGAATTAGAAAAATCAGTTTATTTTATTTATCTATTTCTAACATAAATTTAACAAACAATATATGAGTCAAATATGTTGCAAATTAAATAAATAAATTTGCAAGAGTAAAATGCAAACTAAATAAATAGCAGATAAATTTTTAACCTGAGGCCTGTAAACACAGTTTCCTTAAGACAAATTTGTCCCCTCACCGTAGTGCTAGAGGTTTAGTCATTTAGAAAAACTACAAAAAAATTGTAAAACGCGGACAATCCAAACTGACCCGTTTTTACTCCATTCGGTCCGACATTCGTGTGCCCAATTCGCGCCCGCACCCAAGTTTAAGGTACGAAGGCTATTTCTGTCCGTGATTTGCACCCCCCTCTGCGCGCACGTGGAGAGAGCTTCTATGCTACACATGATCACACCATTCCAATGCATAGCTATATATAAAGTGATTTTGGTTTCCATCTTTTTCCTATGTGGAACAAAATTATCTATAGTTTTCCCACCAACATAGACCATTTCCAATGGTCCACTTTAAACTCCAATTTCTCATTCACCCGAGCTTTATTTTTGGCAAATAAATACATGACTTCGATGTTCTCGCGGAGGAGAACACATATCAACTTTGATATTCCAAATTGGACCAACGGGTCCCATCAAAAATTGTGCCAAAATTGAGCCGCCCACTCATTTTTTCCATCAATGTGTACCTTGTTGAAGTTACTAGGGAAAATCTTAACAATCAAACCTTAGTGGCCTTAGACATGGATCCTGATCCATAGACATAAGAAGAGGCTAGAAAATCTAGAGACGTTGCCTTATAGAAAGTAGAAAGTAGTAGTAAATGACGAAATTGATTCTATTATGGGCTACCAAAATTGGAAATTGGTTGACGTACCTTTCGGTTCTAAACCATAAGATGTAAGTGGATTTTTGAAAAATAAAAAACGAAAGTTGAAGGAACCATAGACTAGTAACCAAAGAATATAGTAAAAAGGTTATGATTATTTTGATACATAAACTTCAGTGGCTAGAATTGCCACAATTAGGTTCCTCGTTGCTTTTGCATCGATACTTAAACTTGAAATTCTTCAAGTGGACAATACAATTGGATTTTAAATGGTGAACTAGAAAAATAAAGGCATATGGAGCAGCCTCAAGGTTTTGTCATGAAAGGACAAGAACATAGTATGTAAGCTTGCTAAGTCTCTTTACGAATTTATGCAAGTATTAATGCAATAATGGTATGAAAAAATTTGACAGAGTGGTGCTATCAAATGGTTTATAATGCATGAATATGACAAGTGTTTGTAAGTTGATGGTATGGTTATGCTATGGAAAAATTAACAACATGATGAAAGATGTGGGAATTGAATAGTTAATACTCATAATGGCATTATATTATCTCAACCCGATTGTATTAAAAAAACAAAATATTAAGAAAGTTTAATCATTACGATTGCACACATGTTAGCAAACTTCTGATCATAGCATTAAATTAAATCCAAATGAGGGTATCACAATTATTGGGTGTTTAATGTATTGCATTGCATGTAGCATATTGAAGCCAACAACAAATAGCAATAATGGGAAATTGACTCAACGCTTGAATTATTAAAATTCTGGGTTCAATGAGTGACTGCAAGAAGATTGCTTGAAACCCGTAATAAGAAAGGGAAAAGGTTAGTCTGTTTCAGCTCTTAATGGACTTGTACAGAATGTCTACGGAATACTTTTGTTTTGTGAGTGTTATTGATAAGTTCAACTATATAAATGCGAGGATGTGCCGTCTCTAAGGTGGTTTGGCTATCTCCTTGAAACATTCTTGAAAATTCAGGATAAAGGATGAGTGGCCTATTTGCGTGTCGGTATATGAACAAATTAGAATACGAAAACCTGTTTCTATAAAGTCAATGGATCAAAACTTGTCTACCATATCACCTTGGTTAATGTCGGAAATATTTTCGCTAGGTGGAGGCTCAAGTCCAAACGACACTTTCATTTCTGCATAATGAAGACTATATGAGAGATTTTTCAAAACTTTATTCATATTTTGACAATGACGGAGAATTGATAGAGAATTTCCACAAGAATGTCATCTGAACTTTGGATTATGAAACAAAGATGGAAATGCAAGTTAAGAGTCTTGGATTGACCAACATATGATGCGCAACACAAATAAGCTAGTCTACGTACATTGCAGGTGGCAAAGGTGCACTGGATGGCTGGCGCATGGCCGTGCACCCGTGCTGGCATACTACCAGAGTTATTGCAACTTACTTCGAATATTGTTAAGATTGTTGATGGGAAATGCCTAGCAATATCTTTGATTTTGGGCTTCTATTGGACGGTTTATAAGGTAAGTTGTCTAGGACCTACTTTCACCCTTGTCACTAGTAAGGTCAGCTTATATTTTGAATGAAAAACTAAATATATTTGAAATTTAAACAAATTATTTCTATTTATTATGTTCAAGTTGCATGTTCACACCACCTTAATATTTACAATAATTCTACTTCAATAAAGTTGGGTTATAAAAGTGACTTTACAAAGTGTGTTGGCAGAATCCAAACCACTGATTTCAAATGATTTAAAAATATATCTTTGAAATGATTGGTTTAGATCCAACTTTGTCATCCAATTTTATCAAACTCCTTTGTCATTGTAGCATAACTCTAATATTTATCCCTCTTAGAATGAGTGCACAAGAGAACCAAATTTGCTTCCAGGATACAATAGAATACAGTAATATGTTCATCGACATTTATATACTTGGTAATTTGTAAGTGAAAAAGAAGCCACAACCAAGGACACATGCTAGGGCCTCGGCCCTCAACTGTCGCCAAAGTTGGCTAGTCACACCAATCCACTACCTTGACTCTACCCTTTTGATCCTTTGTTCTATTCTTGATCCAACTCGCGCCAACACTAACATTCATCCTACAATGGCAAAGGACATTATTAGAAGATTTATCCAACATCAAGTGCAATTATATAATTAAATTGGGCGAGAATTCACAGGTTCTAGGCTCATTTTGGTTCTTTTAATACTTCAAAAAAATGGGTACACTACTGTTAAATTTTTTTCGGGAAATTTAGGGTTGGGTTGTACTACATGTACACAATAATTTACATAGTGGTTTACGTACATATGATATGATGAGATATGATTGGGTCAAAATTTCTTCCAAAAAACAAAAAAAAAAAAACAATAACACTTCACCGTATTTGTAACACATCATCTATATATAAACCATTACGTACAAGTGGTAACATATCCAATCTTGTAAGATTGGAATTTGTTACTTTGACTGTTATAGATTCAAATGATAATAATAAATAAATAAAAATAAAAATAAAAAACGCATAAGAGACACCTCCAACGTCAAGAAAAATGATTGCATCACCAAAACAACAATGACAACACTCAATTCTATTTCAAATAATCCCCAATAGCAACTTCAAAATGCATAGCTGCCACCGGTTTCTCCTCAATAGTACTTCTAATTCTATCCAACAGAAATAACTCAAATAGGATTACAAAACAGAGAAAGGAAAAAATAAAAAGGAATACTGCTCAGTTATATGACGGACAATTACAAAATCTTCAGGTTTTTCAACATTTAAGCCAATAGCTGCATCTAACACAATCAAATTATAATGTCTTTTTGACGCAATGGACTCAGAAGCTTTTATACGAGCAGACCAATGAAGACGCAGAATCTACAAAAATAATTGCACCAGAGTTACCATATGGATCTGATTCTGACCCAATAGCTTCACATTGCTCATGAGCTCAAACGTAACTCACTGGATCACTTATCGCATAACCGATTCTTTGACAAAACGACGACCGTTTGATCTGCTTGGAGTTGAGAACCACCATGAGCATATATGTTAGTGAAAAAATCAATCTTTGAAAAATGAAACATGCCATTCACTTACGCATATTCTAGATGAATATTCATGAACCGAGGATTTTCTTTGCTTTGTGACAATGTTACAGAACCTTCAATAACTTGATCTTGCTCCACCTCTATTGGATCATAGAAGTAGATCAGTGTCTGCAAAATCCATGGAAAGAAAAAGGAATGAACAAAGATTACGCAAAAACTTTTCTTAAGAGCGAGAGACAGCCAAAAATATGAGGAAATCAACAAGGATGAAGATATAGACAGCCGTCAACTCTTCAGCAGCAAATGTAATTCATTACACCTACTTGAGAAAACCTAATTAAAACCAGATTCCCAAAGAAACCAGGACCACGCCAATCTTGCAATATCACCAAGTGAAAACAAATGTTCATTGCATTCTGAGTTAAAAAAGTAAGGATATCACCCTTGGACCATATCACAAGTATTAATTTCTCTGACAAACCATCAAGGGAACCCCTTAATTCTGTAAGGGATGGAATATTTCGAAATAGAATTGGAAGGATAGAATATAGGGGATTAGACAAAACAATTAAAGCATGGAAATATGATTTACAAGAAAAAGATACCCAGGGAATCCAATATCCACATTCATTTGTCACATCAAAAGGCTTCAATACAATTTCAAGTACAGGCGACAAAGAAGACAAATGTGCAATTCAACTACTATGTAAAGCCTGACGAGTGAAAGTTGTAACTTATTGAAAAAATTACTCGTCTGAATGTTAACCTTTAAATTAAATAAGGAAGGATTTAAATAGAATAGAAAAAATAAAGTAGTTGACACGTGTTTATTCAGAATAAGGCTTAACTAGATACATTTGCTAGTGTGGATGTTGTAATCTTCAATTACATATCCAAGATTCCAGTCTACCTTTTACCACAAGATACCACTTGCTTAAATGTTTCATAGTTTCTTTACTACCTTAAGTTTCCAAAACACTTTTACAACCAATTAGGCTGCCAGCTTCAAGATCTGTTAGAGCAAGTAGGTCTGACAAAACAGTAGAGTCAATTGCGTTAATGGCTTTGAGCTATAGCTTGTTTAGGTGTTTAACAGGAACTGCTATGTAGTGAACCGTCTCTGACGATCCGTACACTGGTCCAGTGCCTACTCAAAAGAAAAAGTTAAAGCATGTGTCTACACACAACTCCTCAAGCTCAAGCTCAAGCTCAAGCTCAAGCCCAAGCCCCAAAAGAAGATTCGTATATATTAGATGTACATATGTGCAAGAAACCTGTTGCCAATGAGTTGAAGGATCCTCAGGTGCTGTAGACAATACAAGGGCTTCATTGGGAATGGCCCGCTTCTTTCTTTGATTACCATCTGCATTGTGATTATCAGGAGATTCGACAAACGCAGTTCTTGTATTGTTATCGGAAGGAGGGTATATCACAGGTATACCAAAATCCACATCAAACCAGAAAGCGAACCCATGAAATGGTGCTGCAATTCAAAAGCAAGTATACGAATTCTACTAGAAAATTACATTCCTAGAATCTCAAAACTTGTAGCCGAGGAAAAATATTGGGTCTTTCATTCATATGCAAATTCAACAATAAAACTCAATAGAAGTAAGATAGTGCTCGTGATGAAAATGATCTTTACATGGATATGAAATAATCAAGAGTGAGGAAAAAGGCATTTTGGAGAATGGGAAACTACTGGTGCTGTGGACAGACATGCTCAGAGACATGTATATATAGAGTCTACCCAAAATATCCTTCCGAAGTGAATGAAAAGGGGAAAGATGGATCTTACCTCGCATCATTGATTTAAACTTGAATCTAGAGGAAACAGACTCTAGCTCGTGAAGGGTAACTGTATAACAGTCCACGTGTTTAACCTGTCATAAAATTGAAATAATTAGTTTTTACAACAGCACATTAATATTGGAAATAAATCAAGTAAATAAGCAATAAAGTGCAACACTCAAAGCTATGCCATGCTGAGCACTGTTGAAAACACATGCCCGTAGGCTATGTAGAAAGTAACACTGCACATCTAACTGAAAGTAGATGTTATTGTTATACAAAAATAATAAAAGGCATAATAGTTTATAATGTGTACCACTCAAAGCAATTCCCTTTCCCTTATCTTTCCCAAGACCATGAAAGGGAAAGTTCTTCAGTCTCAATAACATAGCAACAATAATTTACCATACGATAACTGGCATATAAATTACACTTATTGAAGGAAAAATTATTAAAAGCATGATCCACCACCAGTTATGAATAACTGTAAGTAAAATTTTAGGTGGGACAAACTATAATTTGCTTATGCATCAAAAGGGGGCACGGCAATGTGACATTATAATGCCAATAATGATCAAGTATAATATACATCTCAGGTAATCCAATCATTAGGAAATCAGTAGCTGCTCCAACTTCTATAGCTTTAAACATTGAATATATTTTTCACACGAAAAGAAATTGTATTATCAAAGAACTATATCAACAATTCATGGAAGATAGTTATCCTCTATCCACTAAACTAGAAATCAAGAAGAAAGTATTTCTTTATCAATTGAAATCAATTAAAGAAAAAAGAACACCCTTAAATTCCATAGATGTTGAATATCATAATGAATTTTTGTCATTCTAAACTAATAACTTGCTCTTTTGCTTCCAAATGCATTCTCTCTCCATCCATATCACCCAAAGAATGATTGAACAACTGCTTCCCATATCTCAGCAGTTTCTTAAACCAGAACCGATTGACTTTTTTAAAGGAATAAATAGCTACATCTTCCTGGAAAAGCCCAGGCTAATCTGCTTCCAGTAATAATCCAACCATTAGATTCCTTGCAACGACGATCAATACATTCTGATTCTCACATTACACCATGAAGGAGAAATAGACTTTTTGGACATTAACTAAATCACCAGTATTGAACTTCCTATAGTAGAACCATCAATGTAAAGTGCCTATGTCCCATTTAGGGACACACGATACACAATTTTTTTTTTTTTTTTAAAAGTATGGCACATATATTTTTAATTGTTGAACAAAAGCAGGGATTTTTTCCACATTTCATTATTTCACTGCACCATCACACTAGCAGCTCCACTGCACCTTTCGACATTGGTAGTGACTCCACTTATGGTGCCACCTTTTCCAGCCATGCACCTTCCACCGTCAACCCTTCACCATCATCTCGACCCGCTGCCATGTAATTTTGCTATTGGAGATTGAGAAAGACAAAGCACCAAATTAATTTCTCCTTTTCATCTATTTTTGGGTTATTTTTTAATACAGAGCCTGTCAGCACAAGTCAACAAGGTATCGATGAGCCAACTACACGAAACCAAAATGGGAGGGCACGCCACTACCGAAAAATATGAGGATGCTAAAAACCTGTAGTCTTTCAACAGTTGCTTATGCCCCAAACTACAAGTTCCCTATTCTAATTTTGAAAATGAAAAGTAGGCTACCCTATTGATCACCACTCTACCACTAGACTTTGTGTCTTCCTTTGAAATTCTTCAACAAGGGCCGGTGATGTGTTGAACACCAAAACGAGGGCACCGGAGGCATATCGATGACATGTTGAATTCCAAAAAGGGAGACATACCAATGGCACGTCCAACATGTGTAAGTGACGTGTTAGATACATACAAATGGGCACAAGAGGCATGTCGGCGCTTCCCAGCATCCCATTTAATTTTGTACCAGATAAATTTCCACAAGTTACTAAATAAGTCTCTCACATTCTTGGAATCCCATTCAATTAGGTCCACAACATATTTGCTCTTCCGACCTATCCCACCAACAACATTGCTCTCATGTAATCTCCAAATTTAACCCATGTTTGAGCCACATTATTTAAAACTCATTTTCAATAACATATTCTTCAAATAAAATAATTTTGCACATAAATCTAAAAATTTTCCATACTTTTTAACTCCACGTTCTCCAAAAAAATAAAAAATAAAATCACTTTTTAAAACTCTATTCTAAAAAAAAGGTGGGGCTCAAACAGGGCTTATTTTCCCATCAAGTATTACTTTTGTTAGAAATGAAGTGAGAGAACAGTTTTTTCATTTCATCTAGATTCCTCTGATCTACTTTGTATCTTAAATCTTCATATGAATTTCTTGTCCTTTTTTCCTCCACACAAGTTATTGTGATGGCCAAGTACTTCCCACCATCTCTCATCATCAAAACCTAGGCTCAGGATTTCATACCCCAGTGTTTGTTGTGACACGTAGCACCAAATAAAATAGGGCATGACACAACAAACATCACCTTTCTAAATCTTCCATCTTTATTATCCTGAAGTTCTTTATATTTCAGTTGATCCTATCAGAGATCTCTTTTTTGAAAGGAAAATGATATCCCACTACAAACATTAAGGGGGTCCCACCCCTGTATAATAAAACTCTGACCTATTTATACAACAGTATCACAAAGATTACAGAAATAAACATGTTTCTTAATTAAAAAAATTGAAGTACACAAACTGATCTAAAGAAATAGGCCAAAGAAAATATGAAAGAACAAAAAATAGAAACTATCCTAAAATTTTCCAAAAATGGATTGGTCAATCTAACTCTCAACTACGTCTCATGTTAGTTCTATAGTCCATGAATTTGATATTTCATAATGAGGATCTATTCCATGGACCAGCGTTCATTTAAAAAGGTTATAGCAAACTCAATTGTTTCTAAATTAGCAGGGGAGTTGTAAATATTGTTCTATAAATATCATATATGGAAAGTAGTGTGACAAAAGTAGTGAAAGGTTGGGGACATTTGCTGCAATTTACCCATTATTTTTTCATCTATGGAAGTCACCACATTTTTTTGCATTCTATTCATTCCTCTTAAAAATAGATAAGCTGTAAAAACAGAGATCTTGTTACATGGAGGACTCACCACATGAGGCCACGACAAAACATTTTCACCAGTGATTGTTTCAATGGAAGGCTCTTCAAATGCACATTGTTTCGCTAATGGCAGCATGGCAGACACTGCATATAACAACAATATCCCAACCTTAGCAATCAAAAGGGAAAATATCCTGGAAAATTCAGCCGATAATGAAATGAGCAAAAGAAGCACTTAAATGTATTGTGAATATTTCCGGACTAACGTGGAAGCATTTAAATGTATTATGTATAGTCCGGACTAACTTTGACATGAAAGTAAGCAAGGAAAAAATATACCTCTGCTGCTGAAAAAACTTTCCTGCATTTTAAAAGTCAGACTCAAGGACAGTTCATAAAATGAAAACTCAATATAATGATTCGGAATACCAACAATAGGCATCCTGATCCATCAATAGTAATGGAAAATCTACTTAGGATCTTTGTCTATTTTCCTTTATTTAAGGAATCCAGCCAAAAAGAAAGCTTTAACAGTCAAAAGGAAATAGCTCACACTCCAAAACTAAATTCTAGAAAGTTGCATTATTGCACGTCAGCAGGATTTTTAATGCTTCCAACTTCATTACTTCTACCTCTAGACTTAGATCACTCTCTGATGGGTCTCCAATCCAGTCCAGAAGTTAGGAAGAATAAGCTCAACGCGTCCATCCAATAGTAAGGTATCATTTGCAAGCAGAGATGGTCCCATGAAATCTACTCAGCGAACTACATTTCAGCTTTATCAACAATTCACATTAAGTTTCTATAAAAGAAACTACAAATGTCCGAATCATATTTGTTGAGCAAAGTTCCCTAAGGCTAGATTTAGCTCCTGTTTGGTTTATATTAGATTTCTAATAGATTTTGATAAAAATTGATAAACTATGAGGTTGAAAAGTTGATAAAAGTTGTAGGTCCATGAAACGTGTAGCTGAAAATGAGTTTAAGGAAAAATGAGTTTTAAAATGGGGGCCAAACAAGAGCTTATTTCTATGTAGCAAAACAATTTCCGATTATGCAAATAAATTTATCATGGTTGTTTATTTTATGTGTATAAAAAAATTTATTGTCGATAATTATAACTCATAATGGCTAAAATTTTTATGTCATACTGAAAATTTTATGAACAAGTTGTTAACCAAAAAATCAACCGGCTAAAATTGAAAAAAGAGCATGTTGGGCAAAGTTTTTTTAAGATTGTAAATTGGTCAAACATCATTTTTTATCCGGACATTCCGAATGACCCACTGCTTTTATCCACATATTTCATAAGACTCACAGCTTTTAATCTACAAAGAGTTTTACATGGTTTTAACAACAATGCATAACAGCATTCCACACGAATGATCTTTAACTAGATCCCAAATCGAAGTTAGTGAAACTCTCAGCATAATTCTGAGTTTCCTATAAATTTAGCTTGTATTTGGTTGATAAATAAATTATAATTTAAGTGATTATAAGTTGCTGGTCCTATGGAATATGGATAATAATTGGGAAATAGTTGTGGGTCATACCAAATGTGTAGATAAAATGTAGGTTTGACCATAAGTGATAATAAAAATAATCACCAACCACACATGCATTTAATTGAGTTTCAACGAATCAGTAGAATGACTTTGTTTCTCATAATATGTTTAGATTTCTGTGGGAACACTTTTCAAATATTACATGAGATCCTGGATCGATTGTTAAACTGGCCAAATCCTAACCTATAAAGGTGAAAACATATGAAGTTTACTAGGGATATCCTTAAGTTACAGATTATGAAACAAAAATAAATCTTTTATAAGACAGGACAATGCAAAACTGATGCGGCTAATCTTAATCTGTGCTGGACTCAAACCAATGAAATCAAGAAATTGATTGCCTTACAAAAAAAAAAAAAAAAAGATAAAATGAAAACAAAAAATTTATTTCCTTACAAAAAAAAAAAAAAAAAGGAATAGAACACATTTTTTCAGTAGGGGAGGGGAAAAAATAAAAAAAATTTGTGTACTAGACATCTAGTATAAAGTTACTGAAAATACTGATAAGAACATAAGTCTTAATACATGTACTCACTATCAATTCCATATACATTGCGCCAGAAGTCAATACTTTCACTATATCGATCTGGATGGGTGACAAGTGCCAGGTACAGCTGCAAAGGTATAGAATAAAACAGCATTATGCCCAATGATTGGGCATTACAATATTCCAAGGCTTTTATTAGGGTGAAATGTACCAAAACTAAGGTAATCACATATTCACATTATGACAATAATCTAAACACCACAACTTTTTCCAATAGATCAATTTCTATTATATTTGTTCACAGAATGGTCAACTAGAATTTACAAGCTGAAGTAAAATTTAAAAGACCAAAGCCTTTTTACAACTAATGCTGCATCAGCTACATAAAATTGAGTCTTCATGAGGATTTCGTTTCTAGATTCAATGAGTCTTCAAGAGCCTTCTTGGCACAGCGTTGTGCGAACCGCCGTGGTAGGTACTTGATGATAGCGCAGTTTGGGGATAGGCGTCGAAAGGGAGTTGTGATGGTGCCGGAAGGTGCGAATGTAGAAGGATGGGCATCAATCTCGCGGGTGTTTCAAGCTGTTGTGGATTGTTTTGTTGCGGGGGATAAAGCCAAACGTCAACTTGTGAATGAACGTAATCGACAAGGATTGACTTATGCAGACATAACAGCAAACCTACATGCCTCGAAACATGTTGACTAGCGGAGGCAACAACAAAAGGAGATGACTGTCAATGTCAGTGTAAACGAAGGTCAGGATTGTTGTTTGAATAGGGCTGAAATTATGGCCCGTGTCCAGGAATTGAAAGGAGCATTGGAGGAATTGATTAGGCTAGTGGGAAGTGGGTATGAAATGGGTCCCAAGAAGTTGTTATGCTGCCACAAGTGTGGGGTGGGTATGGATGAGTACCCAGCTGTTGGAAAACAAGCATCGGGCTTGAATAAGAAGGAATCGGCACATAATCAAGTTAAGCAGGGAAGACTCGAAATCACTTGTAAGTCAATTGATCGGATTGAAACGGATGAGGGACACTCTAAATATGACAAAAGTGATGTCTTAGAGGGGATGGCTATGGATGAGGTAGACACGGGGACCGATGTAGACCGAGAGGTGGTACCTTTGTCTAAAGAAGGGGAGCCGAATATGGTGAACTTGGAGACAATAAAGATGGGTGCTACGGACACAGTCCCACACGATGATGGGCTTTTACTAGGCGACCAAGTGACGAGGCATGTACTGTCAGAGGATCTAGTTACCTCAACGGTGATAGAGCATGATGCGATACCTTTGACAACAAGGGTTGCGAATACATATAATAGAAGGAACTCTAAGTCAATGAAGGTAAGTGACTTGGGGACGGAAAAAGCACTTGTGTTGTGGGTAGATGGAGCCAAGAAGGGAGAAATGAAAAGTGATGTTATACAGGAGGATGAAACAGGGGGTTTGATTGGATTCGAAGCTGGACACTCACCTTCGAACTGGGTTCTACAGAAAATTCAGGATTTCAGTAAGTTAATGGGCGTGTCTTGTGATGGTTATGAAAACAGATTATTACAATTATTTGAGGATTTGGAGGCCAATAGGGGACAGGAGATGAGTAAACAAGAAGGAAAACTAAGAAGAAAGGTCGATCGTGAACTTAAGAGGCTCGAATGGTCAGTTAATTATGATGGCAAGAGTGGTGAGTCCAAGAATGGAGTATTGGGGAGGGATGCCGGATTGTTAAAATGATACCACGAATCATTAGCTGGAATGTAAGGGGGCTTAATGAAGTAGGGAAAAGGATGGGTGTTCGACATCTGCTAAGGGGCTGAGGAGCGAATCTTGTATGGGTATCATCAGGGGTTTCTGGAGGCATATTAGTCATGTGGGACACCAGAGTGCTTGAGATGGAGGAGGTGAGTGTAGGATTGTTCTCAATATCGATGTCGTTCAGAAACATTGGGGATGGATTTTAGTGGATGTTCATAGGTGTTTATGGGCCTAATACTGATGACAGTAGACGGGGCTTGTGGGATGAACTGGCTGGAATGATGTCTTGGTGGAATCTACCAACGTGTATAGGAGGTGACTTTAATGTGGTTCGATTTCCTATTGAGAGGTCGAGCGGTGGGAGACTCACGGGGGCTATGGAGGAGTTTTCAGACTTTATAGGGGAGAATATGTTGGTGGATTTGCCTATGATTAGGGGAGATTTTACATGGTCTTCTAATCGGGATCAACCGGTTCTTTCTCGTATAGACAGGTTCTTGATATGCGGAGAGTAGGGGGCTAAGTATTCAGATGTCATTCAGAGAAGATTGGGGAGGGTGTACTCTGATCATTTCCCCATTATGTTAACTGGGAACAGGACGGGTGGAGGACGAAGGCCTTTTAGGTTCGAGAAAATGTGGTTGAAAGTCGAAGATTTTAGGGAGCAAGTACAGACTTGGTGGACATCTTATGATATTAGAGGGTCTCCTAGTTTTGTGTTGGATCAGAAGTTGAAGTCTTTGAAAAGGGATTTAAAGAAATGGAATGAGGAGGTTGTGGGCAATGTGAACTGTCGTAAAATTCAGTGCCTTTCGGAGATAGATGAGCTGGATAGGTGGGAGGAGCGTCGAAGGTTGGATGGGGAGGAGAAGGATAAACGTAGAGCATTAAGGGAAGAACTGGAGAGGTTGGTGGAGATGGAGGAGATTGCTTGGCGTCAGAAATCTAGGGTCAATTGGTTGAAAGAAGGAGATAAATGTACTAGATTTTTTCACAAGATCGCAAATTCTAATAGGCGTAAAAATTCTATCATAGTGTTGGAAGTGGATGGGATAACTTATGAAGAACCACTCGAAATTGGAAGTCAACTGGTGAACTTCTATCAAAATCTATATCGGGAGCAGTTTGAGTGGAGGCCAGAGTTGGAAGGATTGGATTTTTCTACAATCACGGAGGATGATGCCGATTGGGTAGAGCGACCTTTTGAGGAGGATGAAATCAAGGAGGTAGTGTTTAGCATGAACGAGGATAAGGCCTCTGGACCGGATGGTTTCTCGTTCTCATTTTACAAGGCTTGTTGGGAGGTGGTGCGATCAGAAATCTTGGATGTGTTTACATATTTTTTTGAACGTGGCAGGTTCCAAAAAAGTTCTAATGCTACATTTGTTGTGCTTATCCCTAAGAAACCGGGGGCGACCGACATTAAGGACTTTCGCCTATTAGCCTTGTCTGTGGGATGTATAAGATTATTGCGAAAGTGCTGGCGAATAGATTAAAGGAGGTGCTTGGAAAAGTAGTGTCCAAGTTTCAGAATGCTTTCGTAAAAGGTCGCCAGATTTTGGACTCTGTGCTTATAGCGAATGAATGCATTGATTCAAGATTGCGTTTGGGAATTCCCGGGATGCTATGTAAGCTCGATATTCAGAAGGCATATGATCATGTGAACTGGGGGTTCCTTTTGTATATGCTTAGGAGGTGCGGTTTTGGAGATAACTAGTGTAAATGGATTCAGTTCTGTATTTTCTACTGTTTCGTTCTCAGTTATGGTCAACGGATCGCCGGAGGGTTATTTTCGGAGTAGTAGAGGTTTGCGGCAAGGAGATCCACTATCCCCATTGCTATTTGTTATTGTGATGGAGGCTTTCAGTAGGATGTTTGAAAGAGCTGTGGGAGAGGGTTTGGTAAGGGGCTTTATGGTTGGCCAATTGCAGGTGTCTCATTTGCTATTTGCAGATGACACGTTGATCTTATGCGATGCGGATGATGAACAATTCAGGAACCTGCGTCGTTTGCTCCTATGTTTTGAAGCGGTGTCTGGATTAAAAATCAATTTGGGGAAATCTGAGGTTATTCCAGTAGGGGAGGTCACTAACGTGGAAGAGTTGGCTAGTATATTGGGATGTAGGGTTGCACAATTGCCCATGTCATATTTAGGGCTCCCGCTAGGGGCACGGTTTAAAAGTACACATATTTGGAATGGTATTATGGAAAGAATGGAGAGGAGGTTAACAGGGTGGAAGCGTATGTATCTTTCTAAGGGAGGCCGACTTACTCTTATTAAATCCACTCTCTCAAATCTCCCCACTTACTTTTTGTAATTGTTTCCTATTCCGGTTGCAGTGACAAATAGATTAGAGAGACTTCAAAGAGAATTCTTGTGGGCAGGGCTAGGGGAGGAGAGGAAAATGCATTTGGTTAATTGGGGTACTGTCTGTTTGCCTATGAGGATGGGGGGCTTGGAATGAGGAGCCTTGTTTTGTTTAATAAGACTTTATTGGGCAAGTGGTTGTGGCGATTTGGAGTGGAGAGGGAGAGCTTTTGGAGAGAAATCATTAGGGCAAAGTATGGTGTGATGGAGGGGGGTTGGTGTACGGTTGAGGGTCGTGGCTCATATGGGGTGAGCTTGTGGAGGTATATCCGACGGGGATGGAGTGATTTTAGCGACAAACTGAATTTTGTGGTGGGAAATGGCACTGATATTAGATTTTGGCATGATAGTTGGTGTGGCGATCAACCGTTAAAGGAGGGATTTCCTTCATTATACCGCATTGCGTTAGAGCCTGCTGCTATGGTGGGTGATGTATTAGACATTCATAATGGGGGCTTTAGTTGGAATATTACTTTTGAAAGGGGCTTACAGGATTGGGAATTGGAAGATTATTCGTTGTTTCTTACTGCCTAGCATGAGATACAAATTCGGGTAGGAGAGGGTGATTGCAGCAGGTGGAGGTCGGCTTGAGACGATATTTTTTCAGTCCACTCATACTTTAAATCCCTTTTGGGATTTGTGGAAAGTTCATTACCTTGGAAGATGGTTTGGCAAAGCAAATTGCCTCCACGGGTAGCTTTTCTATTGTGGACAGTTATGAGGGGACAGGTGTCAACGATAGATAATCTTCGACGCAAAGGATTTTATGTAACCGAGTGGTGCTATATGTGCAAGAAGGATGGAGAGACGATTGATCATTTATTCATTCATTGTGATGGTGTACGTTGGTTTTGGAACAGTATTTTGGCTTCTCAATCAATGGATTGGGTGCTACCTAGGCATATAGAAGACGTGGTACAAGCATGGAGGAGAAAACTTCGTGATAAGGATAGCAAACTTCTTTGGAATCTTATTCCGGGGTGCATTGTATGGTGCATATGGAGAGAACGGAACGATCGATGTTTCGAAGACCAAACAAAGACAATAGAGCAGATAAGAGAATTATTTTACTTGACTTTGTATACTTGGTTTAATGCAGTGGCTAAAAATTCTATTGTAGGGTTGCCTAATTTTATGTTGTTCCTTTCATGCTTAAAGTGATTGTATACCTCCCGTTTACTCTCTTTTAAGAAATAAAATTCTATAATTACCTATCAAAAAAAGCTACATAAAATTGACACTAGTTCCTAAAATATGTTGGAATATGCTGCCACTGTTGCTTGGCAATTCATTCACACGCACACAGTGGGAAGAGAAGATATCAATACCGTAGCAGTTGACGGAAGAATAAGGCCCCCAGGTTTCAACCAACGGTCTCGGGCAGTAATGACACTCCCCAGCATACTCTAACAAGAAGGGCAACCAAGTTGCAGATCAGTTAAAAAAATTAGAAAGAGGAGAACTGGAATCTTCATACAGATATTCAAGAATGGTTCTAAAGTGAATTATGTACATTTTTACAGACAAGCACACTTAAATTATTAATGTGTGCAAGATACTAATCACCACCTCATAAAGAAGCATGTAACCCATCCATTCTGAAACTATAACATCAACTTCTTCATCAATTTCAACATCCTGCAATAACCAGAGGGTGACTTGCTACATATATCCTATATTTGTAAGCAGCAAGTCACAAGGAACCCCTTTTTGTAATTGGATCGGTATTACTTGCAGCAACAGGCGGCAAAGAGTGGCACATTTAAATCTTTCATTAATGGGTCTACAAGGTACTACACCTAAAGAAATCGATTCATTCTCATTTTTTAGATCCTTCACTAATAGCAAAGTTTTATCAGTCTCTGACTGTATTAGTAAATGTCAACATGCATATATAAATGTGATGGGGATGTTTTGTAGGCATATGTACTTTTGGATATTCGGAAAGATTAATGTCCGCTTACCTATAAGTGCATATTTTATGAAAAACATTGAACACGGATCCACCCAATAAAATTTTTTCCTCTTTTTTTTTTTTTTTTTTTTTTTTTTTTTTTATCGAAGCAGTTATCCCACAAGAAATAATCTATGGGTCACTTGTACACCATACATTTCTTTCAAGACATTTAGTTCCTCTTTGTATGTACCAACAACCTCTTGTTGCTTCAACTAATTTAGTTCTGAACAAAAACCAACATCTACTACAAATTAAATGTATAATCCATATTTCCAACACAGTAAAAAAATGAAAGCATGAATAACATGCTTCACTCTCACTGTAAGAGCTACTGCACCAAGTGTCGTTGCCGAATTGCACTATGTCCACAATTAAAATTTATTTTGGACTCATACCTCTCTATTTTCTCTCTACGATGATAGACAGAATGGATGCTCATCCTAATATCTTTAGAGTAGGATGAAAATATTTTGGTGACCCAATATATGTGCAAATTTCCCAAGATCGTACTGCAGCTGAGAGGAAAAGTATACATTGTACAAGGCACCACATATCCAACAACATGCTCATATATAATTTTTTTCATTTTGGATGAAACATTTAGTGTCTGCTGTTTGATTGGAAAAATTTTCATGGAAAATGGCCTTTTTCCATCCGAATTCCAACTTTTGGAGTGTTTTATTGATATTTTTTTTTATGGAAATTTTTTTTTCAACTTTTGAAAATATGACTAGTTTTCCTTATTTTTGAAGAAAACATTTTCTTTGAGAGAGGTAGGTTTTTTTTCCTCAGAACAAAGAAAATATTTTCCATGTCAATCAAACACATCCATAGTTATACTATTCTAACTAAATAAAGAAGTTTATTGCGTGATTAATATGGTTATAAAAACTAAAAAGAAATCAAAAACAGAAACGAAAAATAGATAGTAATAGAAAGTAATGTTTTTGGAAATTACAATACAACCAAAGTAACTTCAACTCTTATTTCTTTAATCTTTAAAAGTAATGTGTCTCATGGACAAAACAGGAATAAAAATTCAGTGAAAATATCTTAGCAAGACCATAAAATAAGACCTGAGCAGTTATAATAAGGTTATGAATGACATCTAAATGAGTAATGTCTTTGAACTGAATCTAATTCCTATAGTTCTTAAACTCTAGCTTGACTTCTCTTTTAATTCTTTTTATTGCATGTAGTGCGGAGCCAGGACTAGTCTAGTGCAGATGAAATTTATTCAAGACCAAACTTTGAGTTTTTTGGGGCTGAGACGAACTTTAAATTTAGGCCTTTAAATTATAGCACCTGCTTGAGCTCCATTTTTCCAAAACTCATTTTCACCACATATTCTTCCATGAAATAATGTCACATAAACCCAAAATCTTTACTTATTTTTTAACGATACATTCTCCAAAAAATTCATTATTCTAAAACACATTATTTTCCAAAATCTCATTTTAATGGAACCCAAATAGGGCCATAGTATGCAACATGCATTCAAATTTTTCTTAACTAATCTATAAACTCAAATGATTTATTTACCTTAACTAAGTCCTCACTGTTAACCAAATAGCTCGGATACTCAAACTTTGGAGTATTGGAGTTGGAGCCTAGAAGGAGTGAGTCGACGGCATGGGGTCTTGAAGAACTAGAGGGAAGAATTTTCAAATTGTTGGAGCAGTGCTTGACGCTTATCTGCTCCGTCCTTCATCTGATGTTTGGTTTGGGGGGTTAAGGTTAATGGGTAAGGTTTCGCATTTAGTTGGACCATTTCAGGATGTTTCAATTTTTTCCTCTTTTTTTTTTTTTTTTTTTTTTTTTTTCCTTTAAGAATTTAAGCATTGGGCAGGGCATTCCTGCCCAACCCAGTGCAGGCTGTTTATGGCTCCAACCCTGGTTGCATGATCTTTGTTAACTCACTCGGGCAAACCATAGTTATTTCAGTATTTGCATTATACTTTTACTTAATATATAGTTTTTGTTGTTAATCGTTGAAGTAACGAAAAATAAGAACTACTTTCAGAGAAACAACATTAGGTCAAGCTTCTATTAAATTTCTCAGATGCATTCCGTTTAGTTAGTTATCTACTTATCTTGTTCTTTATTTTACATTTTCTACTGTATATCACTTAACAAAATTGAATAGCCTAGCACAATTCTGAAGGAGGTTTGAAAGGGAAGTTTTATTCTCAAAGGCATGTTAAGATTCATTTATCCCCAAAATAAAAAATGAGGAAGCAAATGCTTTCCTTCCTAATTTTTTTAGTAACAGAAAAAGCAATTTGGGGTTTTTGAAGCTGGTCTTTCATGGCTGGAAATAGTATTAGTGGTGCTCTGCATCCGAAGATTAAAGAATTCACTTTGCATCAATGCATGTTTCTAATTTTATGCTCACACGACCTACCTTACTGTTTCTGAACTTGTTAATTGTTAAGTTATGAACACAACTATTTGACTAAATTGTGAAAAGTATTACATCTGGCAAAAAAAATCAAGAGGGCACTGGGATGAAACTGACCACAACCAAACTTAAAGAATTTACTTTTCCTTCTAAATAAAATTAAACAGGAGAAAGGCAAAATACAAGTGTATTAGAAATAACAGGTGTCAGCATGTTTTGGGAAGAGGTTACCTCAACACGCCCATGCAAAACAATGACTGTATCAGATAAGTTGTTTGCCTTTACAACTTCATTTGCCTGACATAAAATTTTAATAGAAAAGCATCTATTAGACTACTCACAAATTAGAATTTTCAGGAATTATATTACATTTAAAATATATGTATATACATATATACATATATGTATATACATATGTACATATATGTATGTATATACATATACATATACAGATATGTATATGTATATGTACATATGTATATGTATACATATATGTGTGTATATATATATATATATGTACATATGTATATGTATATATATATGTGTGTATATATATATATATATGTATATATATATATGTGTGTGTGTGTGTGTATATATATATATGTATATATTTATATGTGTGTGTGTATATA